TTTACTGCTTTTGCGCCTAGAGAGCAGAAATGCATTTCTCTCCCATATCCGATAAAATCTAAGTATACGATACTCTTTAGAATAAGTAGTTATATTCTCACAATAGATATTGTTAGCTAAATTCGGCTGAGTCCAGAAAATAAGAAGTACATCCATCAGAACAGCCTTTCGTTGCGTTGCGCATTGTGGTTGAAGCTTTTGCGATTTTGATCAAGGCTATAGTTTATAAGAATAAGGTCGCAACAGATATATTCTAGAAAATTTTATTTACAGCAAAGCGAAGAAGCAATTTTTCAAATTCATTAATAATTTGGACCAATAGGCGTGAGTATTAGGGTTTGTTATGGAGGCCTCCTTATTTAGGAATGATAGGAGGAGCGCGGCTGGATTTGAAGTTTCTGGATAACTTTGATGCTCATAAATGGGTATAGAAAAGCTGAAAGAGCAAGGCTCTCAGGGCTCCGTCAATAACTATAAACGAGTGTTCCACGTTTCACTCTAATCACTTCCTTACTGCTCCCTTGGAACCTACAAAAATTGCGTATGTCACCCATGATTCAGGGTCCATCGCGGGCAATTGGTATAAGTTTTCAACGAGCAATAAACGCACCTCAGCAGAGCCTCATTAGTCACGTTATCGCCTCTATCGCAAAGCTAACAACTATCTTTTGGAAGAAAAGCACAGGTGCATTAGCTTCGTATAATAGACAGGTTTAGGTGGATGAATTAGCTTAGGTGATCAAAAGGTAATTCACATCATAAAAAATTGACAACTAGATAAGATAACCCAGTTGAAGTGCACAATAGTCCATTCGCATTTTCCACTAAAATTTCACAACTTTACACTTCATCTTTGTTGTTTTTTTTTTTGGTTTTTATAATACCGTTCAGAAGAGCGAGTCGCCAACGCGACCTTTCGGCCACGTCACGGTCCTCAACGCGACAAGTCGCGTTCTTCCCGCTCGCAACTCGCCCGTTCCCCGTTCATCGCGGTGGACAGGTGTCGCTTTTTGGTTGGGATTGCGAAATACACCCTACAGAAATGATTCTGTATAGTATGATTTCAGAGAGAAGAGCGCGAAACGGCGCCAGTGGCAGGCTTGCGGCGTATCTCGGCAGAGTTCACATCTGCTTCAAACAGATAGAGAGGTATCATGTATAGTATGATTTCATATTCTGTATAGTATGATTTCAACGAGATCATCGCGACACTGCGCTGCCGCCGCCTTCGCGTCGTATCGCGTCAGAGTTCGCATCGTATCGTAGTTACGGGACAATGTACAGGAAGAACTAAGGCGTGGTCGTTTCTCGTGGCGGGCACCGGAACAAGGAAATTAAACATGTTTCTCTTAAGTGCGCATTTTAATGGTTGAAATTGTTTATTAACGTGTGATCAATAAACTTCTAGAAAACTGTTTCAAGAGGAAATATAGCGTTATATGAATTGCATAGGACTGATTGCAAGGTTTTTAGGAAC